GGAGGGGAGGGGAGGGGAGGAGGGGAGGGATGCTTGGCGTGGCGTGGCGGGGCGGGGTGGTGCTGGTGGTGCCGGTGCCTGTCAGGTGGGTGAGGAGGACGACGGGGGAAAAGCCTCCTCTCTCCTCTCCTCTGCACAACGGCTGGACTGACGACGCGTACGGCCGTGGATTTACTTTCCTTTTCCCTACTCGCCTCTCCTCCCCTCCTCTCCTCTCGCCGTCCGTCGCCGTCGCCGTTTACCGTTTCCGCGAGCTCGCGGGCGGGCTGGCTGGCCGGCCCATTAGCGCCTACGCGGGCCTTCTCTCGGCCTATTCGAACCGAAACGACGGCACTCCGACTCCAAGCGGAGCATCTTCTTCCCGGACCTGTCCCTGCTCGCTGTCCGCTTTCGCTGTTCCTACCACGGCGAACGCTGCTGGAGATGAGCCCTAAATCTGCAACGGCGGGGAAGCTCGCTCGGCGGCAGTAAATCCCCCCCTTGCCGCCCGCCATTATCGGAAGGAAGCGGGAAGGGGACCAAACCACCGGTCTCCTCTTCTTCCCGCAGGTAAGCGTGAGCTTCGTTCCCCAAATCCTCCACGCCTAAACCTACAGTGTTCGACTGGGATCCGGCCGCCGATCGGATCCCCTGCGCTTTTACCGGTTTCTTCTTCCCTCCGTGCTGCATGCACTTCCTTCTTGTATGCATTGTCTGCAGTTAGTTATTCTGCGATCTGCGGAATGGGGTTTTGTTGCCCAGGGGTCCGCATCCCGTTTGTTGCTGTGCGGTGTGTGCCCGGCAAATCCCCGCGGGTTTCTGCTCGGATCTTTCATCCTAGGGCGATTTTAGTCGCATGCAGTTCCAGTGGCAGCTTTGTTTGGTGCGGAGATATGATTCTGGTGCGCTCCAGAGATACTACACTGAAACAGAATTTTGTTTCAGTGTTGTGTGCTCGATACCAAGCGTTCTTCCAGTCTAAATGGTCAGAATCCTGAGCTCATCTTCCATCTTGCCATGGTTGGAACAGTATCCATGAATTGTCATGCGGTATATACAGTCCACATACCTGGTGATGAATTGGGGTTCACTAAATTTGTTCAGCGCCATTGGGTTTCTATTGCTAGATTGCAGGGTGCAGTTGCCATGATGTTTCAGTGTAGGTTATGTGCATGAATCACCTGCTCATTGCTCTTTGGATTTTTATGGTAGTTATATTGATAGGATGACTGTTGATGCATATGATATAAGCCTTCTTGAATCTTCAGGTAATCAGCCAGATGAAGAACCAGAAAATGGCGAATAGACCGTCACGCGACAACAACAAGGTGTTCGCCAGTTTGACTCGCAAAGATGATTCAGATATTGATCCGTCTTACAAGATTTTCTTGGAAAATCTAATTGAAGATGGAAGTGCGTATGTGTTTCATATGCCAAATGGGGACCATGGCTTGCCTGCTTCCATCAGGTATGAAGAGGATGTTATGCCATATGGAGCCGCAAATGCCAGAGACGGCACAAATGTCCCCAAAAAATTGCCACACACAAGTCGGGGTGGTCCGAACGTCGACCGACTAGATCAAACATCAGGCAGCGCTGTCAATGTAAATGCGGGCCATTCCTTTCTCCCAAGGACATCGTCTGTGAAGAAGAACACCTCAGATGTTGATGAATCTTACGCAGAATTTCTGAGCCTCATGAAGATCAAGGATGGTTTCATGGTTCTTGAGCTGGAACCAGGTGTTACTGTGGTATATGAGCAAGAGGAGGAGACACCCCCTGGATATGATGAATTGAGAACTGTGGTTATGTCTGAACGTGGAATTGACAGGCCTGCTCCAGACAATTTGCATGGTCGGGATTCAATCTGCACAGATGAGCATGGAGTTGTACCTTGTACTGAATCTTCTGATTTTGAGGTGAGTTCTACTTCAGTTCAGTTTTGTGGGTTATCTATTTAATTATTCTGTTTTTATTCCATAATTTGGTTTTTGCGGCAGGCATGTGAAGATTGTGAAGAAGAACCGCTTGCTCTTAGTTGTGGTGCTCCTTCTACATTTGATGAAAAACTTGATTCTGTTTTAAGTCAGCCATATGACCAAAATGAATACGAAGAGCTTATGAGAAAAGCCACTGACCAGAAGCCTGTGAGCAGACAAAGACAATTGCGAAGTGGATCCAAACGCTATCCCACAGGATTCGTTGGACTGTCGTATCTTGATCACTACCCAGGTGGTTACTATATTGTGTATGGGCAACCTTTTTAGCCTGATAGGGTTATTCCGTTGTTGCGCCTTTCTTGTGGTTGTAGTCTAAGAGCTTCATTTTGAACCTTGATTTCAGTGAGGTGTTGATAAGCATTTCTCAAACTTCCGTTTAAAAAAATAAAAATATAAGCATTTCTTAAACTGTGCATTTTCTGGTCTGGTACAAATTGTAACTGATTTATGCTCCTAGCCATGTTCAAATGTTTTCTTCCAAATGGATCACTGAACTCTATTAAAAGTCATGAATTTAATCTGTTCATCACCATTTCGTATGTAAGCAAAATTATTTATAACATGTACAGTATCATAGAACAAAGAATCTTGATATTTAAGTGGCTTGGGTTAGCTAGCTGTTGCTGCTTTATTGTGCCCAGTGAGCTTTCCTCTATAAACAGTCATTTGAAACCTTGGATGCATGATGCCTAGTTTTCACTATTGCTCTGCCTTGCTTTGAAACAAAGTAACTATAGCATTTCCATCAACGTTGTGGTCAAAGATTCTCATGGTGCCTGTAGCAGTTTCGAAGGCTGTACTTTCGTGCCGCAACATAAATTAGTATTTTATGAATACTTGGCATTAGATGGATTTGTCAATTGCATTAATATCGTGCTTTGCTACCAAAACTGATGCAGATCTGGCCAAGCAAATCGACACTGCTGACACTAATGAGAGACGATTGAACCTCCTGCGAAAATTCTTCTTCTGGCTGGAGGTGATCTTTGTTCACCATCCTAGTTATTCTTCTTTTCTGTCAGTAGTAATGATATCATATAGTGGAAGTCAGAATCAGTGATTTCTAAATGGTCTGAAGTTAATGGTTTTGCCCGGCTGAGCGAAGGTTTATAGTGGAAGCTCCTTAAGTAGGGAGATACTCCTCCATCCCAAAATTCTTGTCTTAGATTTGTCTAAATACGGATGTATCAAGTCACGTTTTAGTATTAGATACATCCGTATCTAGACTAATCTAAGACAAGAATTTTGGGACGGAGGGAGTACATTGGAAAAATACAACTACTTATGTAACATTTAAGTAGAGAAAAACAAAAATTGCTCTTCTCCTGTGTTTGGCCATGCTAAAAACACTACATTGTTACCCGAACTAAACCCGTGTTTGTTCGCATTGTCTGCAGAACTTATGCCATGATGGAGCACACATGCCATGGATCCCCAAGGCACTGGCCTGCAATCCCATCGCACCAGATGACTAACCGAGAACCGGAACAGACAGGGTTGTCCAATATGCTGCGAGACTGGAGGAAAAACAGGCAGGGTGCAGGTCGATGCAGCAACTCCTCGATCGGCAGCTATGTAAATATGTCAACCATGTACTTTTGTTGTGCGGCCGCATGTAAGTAGCCTCGTATGTGCTGCTTTGGGTTTGTGATTTAGCCAGATCTGTGTGTGATCTTCGGTGTTCTCTATGGTGCTATGGACGTTTGTTTCTTAGCAGTTTCTTCATTGAGTGTTGATGCTCCATGCATGCAGATGGGCGCTAGGCCAACTGAATGGAGATGATTTGTTGTAGGTCGGTTTGCGGTGAAGCATCAGATTATTTTTCTTCTTTTGTTAGGGGGAGCATCACACTATCTTGCGGTACTTGCTCTTATGGGGAAGATGGGTTGTGACGAAAGGAAGGAAATCAATGGCCAAGGTTGCTGAGGGCCTGAGGCGACTGTCGGGCCACTGTGGGCGTGTTTGGTTGCCTGCATGCAGATCAACCAGGCCCGCGCGGGATATGTGTAGCCTGTTTGGTTAGCTGGGCTGCATGCGATTTATAGCTTGTACGGACCTTAAAGCAGGCCTGAGCCTGGCCCGGCAGAATCGTGAGCCTGACTCGGCGTGGCCACGCGTGCGAGGGGTTGCACGCCTCGGGCAGCGCGGGAGACGGAAGGGACATCTCATAACTCCCCTCCCCCCTCACTCTCCTGTCACCGCCTTACCCGCATTGTTCCCACCGCTCCTCTTTGACTCATCGCCCCTCCCTCTCCTCTCCTCTGATGGCTTCACCTAGCCCACTGACGCGTCGTCCTCTGACCCCCGTCGACCAGCGCATTGCCAGGATCCAAGAGTGCTGGGTGGCCGGGCTCCAGAACTCAGGCAAGGACCTGGCGTCAGTGCTGTGAACGTCGTCCCCCATCTGTTGCTGGCCACCACGAGGGCCGGCCAATGCGGTACCGGTCATTCTTGCTTCGCCGCCGTTGCCGGACCTTGTGGTCGTGGGCTCGGTGCCGGCTCCGTCCATGGAGTCGTCGCTTCTTGGGACCCCATTGGGCAGGGGGTTTTCTTGACCCCCGTCCAAGGGTTTTCTCCTGTCGGCGCGTCGTCCTCCTCGACCTCCGGCGTGGCCATGAGCACGGGGCCGATGCCGCCGGCCGTCGCCAGGGCCGGCTCCTCCTCTACTCCGCCACCTCTCTCCTTCCCGCGGGGTTTCACCCCGGCCTCGGTTTGCTGCGATTGCGCAAGCTCCGATGAGTCATAGAATCCCCAATGCTTGCTCGTAGATGTAGATGTTGGGGAACGCAGTAATTTCAAAAAAATTCCTACGCACACGCAAGATCTATCTATGTGATGCATAGCAACGAGAGGGGAAGAGTGTTGTCCACGTGCCCTCGTAGACCGTAAGCGGAAGCATTATGACAACGCGGTTGATGTAGTCGTATGTCTTCACGATCCGACCGATCCTAGCACCGAAGATAGGGCACCTCCACGATATGCACACGTTTAGCTCGGTGACGTCCCGCGAACTCTAGATCCAGCTGAGTGTCGAGGGAGAGTTTCGTCAGCACGACGGCGCGATGACGGTGATGATGAAGCTACCGGCGCAGGGCTTCACCTAAGCACTGCAACGATATGACTGAGGTGGAAATCTGTGGAGGGGGACACCGCACACGGCTAAACAATCAACTTGTGTGTCTATGGGGTGCCCCCCTCTCTCGTATATAAAGGAGTGGAGGAGGGGGAGGGTCGGCCCCTCTATGGCGCGCCCAAGGGGAGTCCTACTCCCAGCGGGAGTAGGATTCCCCCCCCCCCTTCCCTAGTTGGATTAGGAGAGGAAGGAAGGGGGAGAGAGGGGGAAGGAAAGGGGGGGCGCCCCCTCCTAGGATCCCTTCTCCTCTCTCCCACTATGGCCCAATAAGGCCCATATACTTCCCGGGGGGTTCCGGTAACCTCCCGGTACTCCGGTATATGCCTGAACTCACCCAGAACCATTCCGATGTCCAAACATAGGCTTCCAATATATCGATCTTTATGTCTCGACCATTCCGAGACTCCTCGTCATGTCCGTGATCATATCCGGGACTCTGAACTACCTTCGGTACATTAAAACACATAAACTCATAATACCGATCGTCACTGAACGTTAAGCGTGTGGACCCTACGGGTTCGAGAACTATGTAGACATGACCGAGACTTATCTCTGGTCAATAACCAATAGCGGAACCTGGATGCTCATATTGGTTCCTACATATTCTACGAAGATCTTTATCGGTCAAACCGCATAACAACATACGTTGTTCCCTTTGTCATCGGTATGTTACTTGCCCGAGATTCGATCGTCAGTATCTCAATACCTAGTTCAATCTCGTTACCGGCAAGTCTCTTTACTCGTTCTTTAATGCAACATCCTGTAACTAACTCATTAGTCACATTGTTTGCAAGGCTTATAGTGATGTGCATTACCAAGGGGGCCCAGAGATACCTCTCTGATACACGGAGTGACAAATCTTACTCTCGATCTATGCCAACTCAAAAAACACCATCGGAGACACCTGTAGAGCATTTTTATAGTCACCCAGTTATGTTTTGACGTTTGATAGCACACTAAGTGTTCCTCTGGTATTCGGGAGTTGCATAATCTCATAGTCATAGGAACATGTATAAGTTATGGAGAAAGCAAAAGCGGTAAACTAAATGATCATCGTGTTAAGCTAACGGATGGGTCAAGTCAATCACATCATTCTCTAATGATGTGATCCCGTTTATCAAATGACAACTCTTTGTCCATGGCTAGGAAACTTAACCATCTTTGATCAACGAGCTAGTCAAGTAGAGGCATACTAGTGACACTCTGTTTGTCTATGTATTCACACATGTACTAAGTTTCCGGTTAATACAATTCTAGCATGAATAATAAACATTTATCATGAAATAAGGAAATATAAATAACAACTTTATTATTGCCTCTAGGGCATATTTCCTTCAGTCTCCCACTTGCACTAGAGTCAATAATCTAGATTACATTGTAATGATTCTAACACCCATGGAGTCTTGGTGTTGATCATGTTTATCTCTAAGGTGTTTTGGTGATTGATGACAATGCGTTTGCGGACTAATCGTGTGCCTTGAGTATCCCAGACATTTCATCGCTAGGCACAAGACGGTTGGGTGCCCCTCGAAGACTGTTGAAGACGGCGTCTTTTCTACGTTTCTTTTTGGTGGATTTGAGTCGTAGGAAAGCCGTACTATTAAGAGAGGGTCCGCGTCGGAAAGGTTTGGGTGGAATCATCATGTACACATCTCCTTCTTGTCCCCTCCTTTTCCCTTGGAGCTTCCTCCGCTTTCTCGTCTCCCTGGTTCTGGCTGCTGAGTTGGGTCGCGGTAGTACTGCTCCCAGGAGAGCGGTAGTACCGTAGGCACCAGCGGTAGTACCGTGCGGTGGCGTGGTAGTACCGCAGGTGCCCACGGTAGTACCGCTCCCTTGGAGCTGCACTACCGCTGCCCACCAGGCTAGTACCGCTCCTTCGCGGTAGTAGGGGCGGATGTAATTTTTTACATCCGCACCTACCGCGGTAGTACCGCTTTCGCTTCGCGGTAGTACCGCGCTATGTTGTTAGGCAGTAGTATCGCCCCTCGGCAGTACTACTGTGTCGGGTTTTTGCTTCTTCCGTTTCTTTGCGGAAGTAGGCACGGTTGTTTCCTCCCCCCCTGGCTAGGGGATTTCTGCCTTGCGGTAGTACCGCATGGAGGCGCGGTAGTACCGCGCTCGCGGAAGTACCGCCCTCAGCTCCTGCGCGTCAGATCTGACCTTGTTGTCGCTAGGGTTGCGGCAGTACCGCGGGCATGTACGGTAGTACCGCATGACAGTGCGGTAGTACCGCTTGGAAGCAAGCGGTAGTACCGCGCGGCCCTGCGGTAGTACCGCTGGCCTGGAGCGGTAGTACCGCTGGCCGCGGGCTGGTAGGTGGGTAACGGTTGGATCTTTGTCCTACACTATATAAGGGGTCCCCTTCTTCCCCGTTGCCTCATCTCTTCCAACCCCAAGCTCCATTATTGCTCTAAGCTCCATTTTCGCCCGATCTCACTCCCTAGCCAATCGAACTTGTTGATTTGTTCGGGAGTGGTTGAGAAGGCCTCGATCCACACTTCCACCAAGAGAAATTTGATTCCCCCCACTAATCCCTTGCGGATCTTGTTACTCTTGGGTGTTTGAGCATCCTAGACGGTTGAGGTCACCGCGAAGCCATAGTCCATTATGGTGAAGCTTCGTGGTGTCGTTGGGAGCCTCCAATTGAGTTGTGGAGATTGCCCCAACCTTGTTTGTAAAGGTTCGGTCGCCGCCTCTAAGGGCACCAATAGTGGAATCACGACATCTCGCATTGTGTGAGGGCGTGAGGAGAATACGGTGGCCCTAGTGGCTTCTTGGGGAGCATTGTGCCTCCACACCGCTCCAACGGAGACGTACTTCCTCTCAAAGGGAAGGAACTTCGGCAACACATCCTCGTCTCCACTCTTGGTTATCTCGTGCCTTTACTTGTGCAAGCTTATTTGTATCATATCACTTGCTTGCTTGTGTTCCTATCCTTGTTGCATCATATAGGTTGCTCACTAGTTGCATATCTAGACAACCTACTTTGATGCAAAGTTTAAATTGTTAAAGAAAAGCAAAAAATTGTTGGTTGCCTATTCACACCCCCCTCTAGTCAACCATATCGATCCTTTCAATTGGTATCAGAGCCTCGTCTCTTTATTAAGGACTTTACTGTCCGAAGAGTATGGTTGATACCGTAGACGGTGTGGAGGAACACTCTGGTGTGAACCCGACCTCGTCTACAGGCGATGGGGGAACCTTGGTCTCTCGTGAGGAGTTCAATGTGGCCTTGGAGACATTGAAAACCTCCATGACGATCGATGTTGAAAGCATGTTCACTAAATTCCTTAAGGGGCTTAAACTATCCACTGCATCGTTGAAAGTGGGTGATCCCACCGA